ATAGTAAGCAGTTAGCAATTAAGAAAACTTTCTCTCCTTTGAATCACCTATCAATACAAATATATATATATATACACTATATATATATATATATATATGTGTGTCATGTAAACAGCTCTCAGAGGCAACATACTAGTTCAATGAGTTTTTAAATTAAGTAGTAGGAGATGATATGCAATCTATTTCACCTGTTCGGGGCAAGTCTGGAAAACACTTCTGAGCAAAGGCTGTAGATGTAAATTGGATGTGTCTTCAGCCTTTTAGTTTATACTTCTGATTTTCAGTTATCAAAGCCCTTGATTCCTTTATCAGTATATGTGAAAGGTGGAAGTTGACCCTTGCCTATGTTAGTGTTTTCATGCTTTGTGACCTGTATCACTTTAATCACGGTACCTGAAACTGTGAAGTTTACAATGCAGACTTACAGAGCTTACAAAGGATTGCATCTGATATTCTTTCATTTCACTAACATAAGACAAGTTTGCAAAAATATTTACCACTATGTTTTTCTCTTGCATAAATTTATATATACATTTTGCTATATCCAACATTTCTTCAAGAACAGTAATGCTTGTTCCTATTACACAGAGTATTAAAAGGATGTTATCTTTTGTAAGTGATATCCAATTTAGAAATAAAGCTTATGCATTTTATAAAAAAAAAAAAAAAAAAAAAGGTTGTTGTTCTTAGGGTTTTTTGTTTGTTTGTTTTTCCCAATAACATGAATTGTAAATTGTTAGTGGAGAACTGAGCCCTGTCAGGTAGAAAAAGCAAAAACAAACAAACAAAAAAAATCCTGTGGTAATCACATGAACGTTGCGAAAAAGAGATCACTACTTTTGCTACATTTTTGTATGGGAAATGACCTGTGAGATGTACTTTGAGAACCTGTGCATTTGCCTGTAGGTCATCTTGAGTGTTTACATCTATACTGGGTTGGTTTGAAGACAATGTCAACTATAGGAAATGAGATAAGCTAATGTCTAAACCACAAACAAAAGGGAAGGACTAACAAAAGACCACTTTTGTGATTCAAAGCAAGCTAGGATATGTTAGGAAATTCAGGAACTATGAAACAGAGGGCCAAAGGCAAGAGCATGGTTAGAGGCCAGACAGATGATCAGTTAAATAGGGAGTCATAGCACTGAAAATGACCATGGAAGAGGATCAAGCAAGAAACAGAGGGATGCAAAGTGGGTATAAGCATAAATAATATCTGGAACAACAGGAAGCATGGAGAGCAAATGGTATGGAAACGGAGTATCAATGAGGATCTCAACCAAAGAATTGCTCTCCAGGAAATCTATATCAACCAAAGAGTCCTTGTCAAGGCATTAGCTTAGCAATTTTGGATTGGGATAGGGTCAAGTTTCTACATGTGAAGAGTAATAGCCAATGATGGATTCTTTGCAGGCTGTAAAAGTATTTCTATATCAGAAGTAAAAAAAATATATATATAAATAAAACGTTAAAGTCAATTTATTCTTAGTAACAAGTGGCTACCAACTCTCACTGTGGTAGGCAGAATGTAACCTTTTAATACAGCCTGAAAAATTTTCCAATGTACATCTGCTTAGAATATAACCAAACTTCATAACCTGCTTCATAATCAGGAAACATAATATCAGACTTAGAACAGTACTTCAGAAAGGTGGTCACAATGGTAGTCTTGAGTTACCAAAAGAAAACATAATCTTAATTACAGTGAACTGTGTCTTTGACATGAGCTTTAAAATTATTTCTCTCCTCTTTCCCTAAAGAGTGAATTAATTTAGTTTTGTCATATATCTTAATAGGATTTGTTTCTCAGTAAGGCCTTTTTAATCAGAGCTCATATTTGAAGGTGACAATAACAGTTTTCAATGAGGAGGGATAAAACCAAATCATAAGGAGCTATTGTTAGGACACAATGACAAAAATAAGTTTTTTTTAAAAGAAGAAATATATAAAAAAAGTGTGGATATTATTGCTATATAAAAAGAAAGTGGAGATCCTAGAAAACATTTGAACAATTTAAAGTTTGAGAATCTGTTTTACATTTTTTCACTTTAAAGTGTTTCATTCATTAAGGTAATTGCTAATTGTTTATTTAAAATTTTGAGACTTTAAAAACTATTGCTGTTGTTTGGGACATAGATCCCCCCTCCAGTAAATGCAACTTTTATTTAATTATTTATTGAAAATAAAAAATAAGGAGTAATGAGAGCTATTTGGGTCTTTGTTTTCAAGTCATTAATTTTGCTTAAGAATTAAAATCATTATATAGGTTACAATAATGGGTTGATAATCTTTGTTGGTGTTCTATTTGAATGTACAATGTGAGAAACAATTTGAAATGAATAAAAATATGGCATGATGAGAACCAGCTATTACTGAATGCCAGAAATAATCTTTAAACAATAGCCAAACATAGAGATTGCTTTAATGACACCATATCTGAAGAACGGTTTCAGCAGAATGCAATTAGGATAAAGATGCTGCTTTAGCATTGCAAGGCCATTTGAAGAAAATATCTTTTGGTATTTACTAGCAAGGCTATCTAAAATGATTCTTTCTTTCAAAAAGAAAAACTGAATTATCTTGTGTTTCCATAGTCGACTAAGATGGATATAGGACAGATCTTCCAATACTTAAAAGGATGTGGCAATGATAGAAAAAATCATTTTGGGTAGAAAAGTATGGAAGAAATATGGGACAGAAAAAAATCAATTCCTTAAAATGTATTTCAACTCAAAGTAGAGTTTTATATATTTTGCTTCTTCTAGAAGACTTGACCAAAGGCTGTAGCTTATGTTAGCTATCTAAAATTAATTGCCTCAGACCCTGTTCCACTAGAACACAGGAGAAAAATGAGCTGATGAAAAACATACCAAAGAGATAAAATCTACTTCCAGACAGGAGACATACCATCTTAATCCTTCCTCACCCCTTACTTCTGAAGGCAATACAAGTTGTTACAACTGTTGTTATGATACAAAATTGAGTATAAAATTATCAATGTTCAAATCGTCTCTTGTTATCTGCACTAGTTTCCATCATGTACTGTTTTTTGCCAGGACACTTAATATATTTCTTCATAGTATCTTGTATAATGATATGTTTTGGATTTGGCATTTGTCTTCCCAAGTCACTGATACATGTGATGAGTCCTGCTTTCAAGAAAATGGCTGAACATCTGCCTGCTGATGGGAAGTAGTGAATGAATTCCTAGTTTTGTTTTCCTTGTGTGCACAGCTTTTGCTTTATCTATTAAACTGCTTATCTCAGACCACAAGTTCTTTTTTTTTTTCTTCCCAATGCTTTTCATCACTGCTGGACATGAGTGAGCAGCCATGTAGAGCTGAGCTGCCTGCCAAGTTTTACCCACAACACAGACAGGTGAAATGATCTGGATGATCAGCTGACATTATTAGAAACAGCTTTTAAAAATATAATTTATCACAATATAATTATCTGCATCAATATCAAATAAAATTTCAAATTTAAAGGCTTGCTCAAATATTTACATGTGTTATTTCAAGTCAGTCTAACCACCGTTTTCACCCCCTTTATTCTGAAGACTCAATTTTATCGCATATTGTTTATAGAGAGGGTATGTGCTAGCCTAACCAGCTGTGACATGTGAAGTGAAGGCAGCAGAACCATACCTACAGAAAGTCTTGTGGCTGGTTCTCACAGGAGACTGCTCACGTCTCCACAGAGGAGTGCTTCATACAGACTCATCACTGCATGTGCATGATATGACACTGCTTACATCATGTGTATATAATTATCACAGAGCAAGACTTTTCAAATTTGTCTCAATGCTCTATACTTAAGCCCTTTTCACCAAAAATACCTGTTTTTCCTCTTATGAACACTTCTGTTAATGGGCCTTTTGAAGATTATTTAACTTACTCTATTTTATTACCTGCAACATAGCAGTCTTGAAATGGGAACATTGAAGTTAACCATGACCTTTTTTAATCTTACAGTTTAAGGTTCAACTCTGTACTAGTATTTAAGCATCTGTTGTCTATTATTATTCAACTAGTATGTGATTTTCTCCTAAATTTATTCTTGCCCACATAGCTCCCTTTGCAAGATCAGTATGTAGTTGCAATTATTAGTATCCATATTTTAGACACTCCTCAGTTTTGTCTTTATCCATTGACAATTGCTTAACACAATATGCCTAACTTTTGTATAGTTAGCAGGATAACAGTTCTTAAACTCTTTTCTGGAAAGGTGAAGCTCTCCAAAGTTTCTTTTTCCCTTTCTTTTTCCAATCTTGTATGCATTTTTTCTCCCTCTCATAAGCATTAATTTCTCCACAGGCTCTTCACTGTTATTGAAAATGTATTGACTTGAAAAGAGTTGAAGGGATTTATTTCTTGCTTCTTTCCTGCTATGTATTTGGCATATGCTACCTTTTGCTTTTGCAGCACTGCATTTAACATTTCTGTAAAGAAATAGAAGCAAGTGCTACAAAACAAAGAGCACTAAGATTCATGAGAATGCTTTTTCTTCTAATAGTATTACAGTGAAGTTGAACAGATGTTACTTTTAATGATAAATTCTTTCCAGAGGATTTTTTTATCTATTTTTTTCTAGAAATTTCACCTGTATTTTATATAGATAGAACTCTTAAAATAACCTGGCTTTTTCAAAAATGGAATTCAGCTAAAGAATTGAAATGGTAATATTTGTTGAGGAATAAAGTAGGGACACAACTGAACCATACCAATATTAGCACATTGGCATCCATACGCTGATTTACTGAAATCTTCATATTCTTTTTTAGTTATCTAATATTTTTAGCAAAGTCATTATAAAAATGTTTGCTTTTATTATTAGTGTTTCAAAAATCTGCTTCTGATTATGTTTATTGATACTATTAATGCAAGCACATGCTTCACAAATCATGCTAAAAAGAGAATATGTACAATAAAATTAAAAATCTGTCAAAGCTAGAACAGAAGTCTCTAAACTTGATATCTCATTTCTAAGGCTCTATAAGCAATTTCCTTTTACTGCTTGATAATTGTCTGTTCCATGTTTCCTCTTAGACTACAATAGAGGGGTTATGGAAATCACAAGGTCTTTAAATATAACAGCAAATAAATATAACAGCAAATGTTTTTTATATTATCAATGGTCTACAGCATCACCTATTTGCAAGGTTGTTCAACTGCGGTATGTAGGAATGAAAATAGAATTTTCATTCACAGAATGGAACAGCAATTAAAAAGTCATTATTTTCTGTGGAATTACATCTAGTATGCTTTTACTTGGGCTAAATTTTGGAAGACTTCAAAGTTTTTGCTAGTCATTGCTAGGTAAGGAAAAGTTACTTTTAATGGTGCTAAGTGATTCTAAGAATTTCTCTGATTAAATGTGTTATTTCATCATGTGTCTTATTGTGTTATGAGAAAGATATCAAAAATTTGATAGGATTTGGTCAGGAATACCTTACTTATTACAGAAGAGGGAAAGGGTAAGACAGAAATAAAATGTTAACTGATGTGGCTAGCATTAATTCAGCTGTGAGACAGATTGATCCATAAGGAGGGGAAACATAAAGAGAAACAGGTTACACAGACATGGACTGTGAATAAAGAACTGTGTCCAACCAAAAGAGATTGTGGGATAAACAAGGAAAACCTTAGCATGAGATGGGTTGTCTTCAGATTGGGTAGAGAAAAGAGAAAATGACTTTGTGAGAAACAGGAATCAGACAGTAATTATTCTTTCTGAGGAAAGAAGGATACTGGCAGAAACACACTAGAAAGTAAAGCTAGCTAGAAAGTAAAACTAGGAAGCTGAGGAGGAGAGAGTCCTAATGGGGACTGGGTAAATGGGGTCTGGAAGGAGCAGCCTGAAGAAAAGAACATTGCAATACATATTTGTGTTATGAGAGATTGTAACATATAATACTTAAAATAACAAAGAGTCCTATGATAATTCTTGGCAGTTTGACAAGTGCTACGCGTATATGGAAAAAAGGCTGGACTCTGGTGCTCTGTGCTGGAAGCTTCAACACACATAAGCTAACTGTGTAGACTAGGATGATAGGAGGGTGAAACACAGACTAGGGTGGACTGCAAGGTAGGAAGAGAATGCTGTATTTGGTCAAAGTGCACAGCAAACAATGTACAGCTCTCTCTCTATATATACCTATTGTGTCTCATTTTCTGTCAAGCAATGCATTTGCAGAAAGGCTGTCTCAAGGTTCACTGGCAAATTCCAGAGTTTTCTAACTTCGAAACGATGTTCTGACAGTTCTTTTAATGAAGTGTTACAATATTTTATATAAGCAATATTTAAAGGAAATGTATTTCTACAATACTGTTATTACCCAGAATTGACTGGTTTTTGTGCTAAAAACTAGGACGATGTAATCTGCTGGAGAGCTTGTAACTCAAAGCATCAGTCCTATAAAAAGCTCTTATGGGATTTTTACAGTTTAAAGGTTGATGGGTGTACCATCTCTTACAATTGTTAAAGAGCTTAAGATATATAGTTAGAGAACACCTTTCTAACAGTTGTACAGCCTAAGCTTTAATAGAGCTATTCAAGAAACAGACTACAGTAACTTCAGAAACATTTGGGTCAGCATGGTTCCTCGGGGAACCATAGAAATTTCTGGATGCCCAAAAGACAAATTGCCACTTACACTAGCTGGAAGTGCTTCAGCAGACCTATGCTGAAACAACACGTCTCTACTCAGCCACAGTAATAGAGTCTGATATCAATGCGATCAAACACCTCTGAAACCAAGAAGACTGACTCTGTCAACTGTGCTAACTAGGTTAGTTTTCTTGTGCCTGAGAAACACCAGCCAAACTTGATTTTTTATATTACAGATAACAATAACAACAAAACACAAAGAACAATAACAGAAAAACAAAAACAAAACCCAAAACTTTCATCAAATATTAAGTCCAAATATATAGTTCAATATATAGTCCATTTCTTTCTAAGGAAGCTGTATTCCATTTTAAGGGAGGACAAATAAGCTTCATTAATTCTGTATTCTTATCTATGGCATATCTTTTCCTCAGTAGTATCTGCTAAAAAGAAGGCAAATGGAAAACAACCCAAACAACCCAAACCACCCCATCCAATGAAGATTAAGATCAAAATGAAGATCAAAACAGCATTGCCCCAAGTTACCAAGTGCCTCTTCAAACTCAGGTCTTTGTTCAGAGAAAATCCATCTGAGATCCTACCTAGCAAGCTGAAATTAATCTAACTCCTGGTAAGATTTGATCTCAAATAGATCTGTAAACCTTGACTCATGCTGAAGTTTATGAATCTCCAGCTCTAACTTGTGAATCTAAACTCACACACTTGTGTTTTGAAAATCCAGGGAAATAGGTCCTTGCTTTGTCACTGACTGTGGGTGATTAAAATATAAGATTAAACTAGTTCTAGAATAATCTTTTCACTAAAATATGAGAAAAAGAACAAGCAGGTGTATCTGCAAGTACCTAAAGTAAAGGGGAGCTATGATGTCAAGGACAAATGTTAGAGAAATGGAGAAATATGAGTGCATGCAGTTGTAGGAATGTATGCACACATGCGTGTGTGCACACATACCTGTGTTAGTGTGATTACAATACCTTGAGGTTAGCTACAGAACAGCATTTAGAAATTTGTTGTTGTTTCTCAACATTTCATAACAACCTAGTGTTACTGTTTATCTGTTGCACTAATACAGGTTTTGAATGTATAGTCCGTTGACTGTTGTCTAATGATATATCAAATTAACAAATCAATAAACTGCTTCGATCATGATTTGGCTGAAGCTAAGTTAAATGAGTAGTCTTCTCCTGTGACAGTCATATACCTTTAGAAAGAAAAAAAAATCAGTTTGGAAGGCTGTAATATACAGTTTACGCCATTACTTTTTTTTTTTTCCTCTCATATTAAGGGAAACAGAATGCAGGTAAAGTCTATTAAATGAAAGAATGGCATTGAGTAAGACTAACAAAATTTTTGTGGTGAGGCACAAGACAGGAAAAAAAACACACATGAATATGGTAAAAAGTATTTTAGTATTTCTTCTATATAAATGCAAAACAAATGAAATAACAGAACCCTTTATGGGTTTCTATTATAATGTAGAAAATCTGTTCTGGTATTTGTATTATCCTTTCAATAATTACATATCTTTTGGAAAGGAACACAGAAATATTAATGGCAATGCATGTACTATTTATTCACAGAAGAAAAAAAGGCAGTTAGGGTAGAGACTATAGCTATATGTTTTGTATAGCCAGGTTCATAATTAATATCTATCAAAGTTCAGAAGATCCTTCAGCTGTCTTTAAAGTGAATACTGCAATTTAGATTCCAGAAAATCTCCATTCTTAACTTCTTCCTGAGCAATCAAATTGCCTTTCAGGTTTGCTTACTTAAAAATGACCTGAGTTATTCAGTTATTCTGAACCTGAAGGGCCCTTTACTATGCTTAAAAATGTAAGGTCTAAGAGTGTCTAACTCTTCACTGAAATGAGACACTACAGTTAAAAAAAAAAGAAAAAAGAAAAAAAAAGGTCAAGTCCTATATGCTATATGTCAAGTTCTTTCTTGTTTCTTGTTAATCCCTTCTTGTATTGGAAACTCCTTTAGAGAGCTCCAGGACTGATCTCATATTAACCAAGAGATAAATACACCACAGAATTGAACTTTGTAATAGTCAAATTCAGTGTTAGCTACTGATGTCATCGGAACATGATTGGTTTCTATCACAGAGCAACTGATCTGCCGTGATTACTTTTCAGAATAGCAGATAATTGACTGACTCTTTTTCCTTAGAAGATGTTTAGAGCTGAAGCAGGGTGATACACACTGGACTGAGATTAGTTTTTGAAGTTGTATGAGTACCTAGAGGTCTTCAAAGAAATATCAACATAATTTTCAGCAAATCAGGAAGCTGCAGCTACTTGCAGACTATTACTACTGCTACTAATAACAACTTAGGTATCAAAAATACAAAAATGAAATTACCTTTAACTTTCTGCTTAGGATCAGCCTATATAAATCTGCAGCAGCAAAGTGGCTGCCTGACATTTGCAGCCAACACAACTTGAGCTCCTACCAGATGACTTAGCTGTTTGACAAATTTGTAGGGAGGATTGATGTAGTTTATGTGCGGCCTCAAGAACAATAAGCTTATGATGTCTATGCTACTGAAATAATTGGAACATTGATTTAGTGGTTTTGAACAGAAATTATGAGTAAGTTGAGGATCTTAATGTACCCACACTAATGAATAGGTTGTTCAGATTATAGTATTTTCTGAACAGATGCTTATGACTGTCAATAAGAGGGCAGCCTTTTAAGATTTTCTTTGGCTGAAAGACCAGTTCCTAATTATGTCTCTGACTTGAGGCATTTTGGCTTATATTCACTAAAGTTCTGAAGTGCTGAGTAAAATCAAAATCTAAAGCTTTCATAATCTGCACAAGACAGAAACGGAAATAAATATGGAAATGCACCAAAATTAGCAGACAGGAGAAATCTGTGCCATAATTCTCCCTCCCCTGGGTTGACTTGGAGCTGTTTTCCTTTCATCTCCTTCCTGAGATTTTGCTGAGAGGGAGGCATTCAGCTTCTCCATTCTAAATGTTACTAATGCTTGAAATACGTCGCTTTACAGTAAAACAGCTTAAAATCTTTATAAGCAGATCCAGAAGTGTCATAGTATACAGGAAATAATGCAGTTAAAAAAAAAAAAAAAGGCACAAAGAAACAAAAAAACAAACTCACCGAACTCTGACATACATGCGTGTCCTTCTTGAGGTCTGGAGAAAAAAAAAAAAAAAAAACAAGCAGTACGAATCAAATTGAAAAGCCTTTGATAGATTTACTACACTTCACTTAGATTCATCTGAAAATGAATATTGCATTATATTGCATCACCTTAATAAAATACTGCCCCTCTAAGCAAAGAATTTTCATTTTATATTGTGATAACGTTCTAGAGTGATTCCATAGAGTCAACTCAGACATTTGATCTTCTGGAAGGTTTGACACTGAGAACAGATGTACTCAGCACCTGAGAGTTATTGCATTAAGGCTTTATTATTTTTATTTTTTTTTTCAAGTCATCAGTGACAGACATATTGAGTGCTGTTGTTGATTTCACTGTCATTGCATTTCTATAGCTTAAACATTATAATATGTATTTTCAGTTAACACTTCAAGGGAGAAACTTATGGCGATTTCAGATGTGCCATGCCAAAGCTCTTGTGTATCTGCTTGATACTACAGGAGAGAAGTACTTTCACAGTCATCATTTTAATCAGTTCTTGCTCAGCTATTGTCTGTATTAGTTGCTTTCCTCTCTAGAAACAGACTTGTCTATCACGATGATTTTAAAATGCACATTTACAACTAGAAGGACTTAATCTAGAGGCATGTAATAAATTATTTTCAGTACAGAACCTCTCAAATTTTTAAGACATTCATCTTGTTTCAACTCATGTCTGCTTTGTGTTCATTTTCAATTACTCATCTAAACAGTTTCTTATGACAGTAGGGGGAGGACTCTAGAAAAAGGGTCTGAAATTCTTAACTATGACAGCATAGAGGTTGCAGTCTGTTCAAAAAACACTTGGTTTCATGTTTATCAGTGCACTCCTGTTGCTTTTTTGTTCCCCTCCATATTTCTGTTTTAGTCAATGATTCTTTTTCTGTCCATCTTTATTTTATTATCTCTTTAGGACAGACAGCATCCTTTGTTCTTCCCCTTCTTTGGTGTATAATCTACGAGCTATTGCTGAGACCACTCAACAGTACTCCTGAAGAACTGTTGTGAGATGAATCATCCATGCTGCATTTTTGTATTAAATTCAATCTCCTGTAGAAAATTGAAAGCAAAATATATGGTTTCTTTAAAGAAGGATACAGAATTTGATTCCAAGCTTTCTTATGCCCTTTAAGGATTGGGAAAAGAGAAAGAAGTATTTATCTAATAGTTATTAAGTATTTTTATTCATATGCATGATTAAACTCTTGTTCATTATAGGACTTACAATATTTTAATTACATAGGTTAAGAAAATAATATAATTCTTTTTCTGGTATGTGTCTCTGTGAAGTGTCAAAACCTCAGTTCATTGCATGCAGCCTGGTGGTAGCTGGTACAGCTTAAGACATGTTAAATGTGGTGAAAAAAGTAGGAAATAGTTTGAAAATGTTATTCCAGTCATTGGAGTAGAACTACAGAAAGACTTTGTAAGAATTCAAATTTTTTAAACCTTCATCCTGAATTATAAAAGCTATGACAGTACCTTAGGAAAAACAAGTGTTACTTTGTGTTATCCACATGTACACATTTACAGTGTCAGAAAGGCATTTCTTTATCAGGGTTGACATTAGTACATTCAAACATATGTCTCAAGGAACATTACTAGGGACTCATCTAACATTACGTTTTAGTAACACATTGTAAAAGAAATAAATTGTAATTAGTAACTACATTTTAAATTGTACACTGTTATGTGATTGCTAATTTTTACTATTAAAATGTGTTTTTTATGCATGTATATGCAATAACATACAGCAAGATTGTCTGGGGCTTAGGTCAGCTCTTCGTATTTACAACAGGAAGCTACCTAAAGCAAGTAGGTAAGTGAGGTTGACTGTGAGGTAGCTCCCATTCATTTTATCTAAATTTATTCCAACATCATGATATGTCTTTTGGGGGACTTCAGAATAACAGTGGGTAGAAGACTGTGAACCACAGGATCTGCCATTTAGAGCAATTTTGTTCTGTTTTGTCCTCCTTTACTTTTGAAGGTACAGAGAATGCTGCTTTAATCAGCATCGTTATCCTACGCTTTTCTTTTTCTTATTGTTGTATAAATACTTCACTATGGCTGTTCTAATTATAATGACTAGCAAACAAGTGTCCTGTTTGGTAAGTTGAAGAATAGAACCTTAAAACTACCATATTTTCCCTGTAGAATGCCTCTCTTTTTTCCACTATGCTTTCAATACTTTGTCTATACAGCAAATCTATAAGTAAGGTATATCTAAGCTTACTGTGAGCTTAATTTTCCTGTTTGTTTTTCTCATCCATATCCAGTTTCATCTGCCTAATCTAATCTTAAGCATCCTTTCAAAATGTTTCACTTTCCTATCTACTCTCCCTGTTATGCACAATATCAATATAGTTTTATTGATAATGTCTATATGATTCTCTAATCATACCACCAGAGTGCTCAGCTTTGGAAACATGCATTACATGTAGGTCTAGGGTCAGCAGTAAAGCCTCCTGAGCATTTTCCACCTCCAATTACAATCAATTCCTCAACTAAGTACACAGCCAAACTCCAGCTGTCAGGCAGAAGAAAATCTGAGAGTGAAGGTCACCACTCTAGAGAAAATCTTTTATGTGGTGATCAGACAGGCTCAATCAGGGAATAACTAACTATGACAGATAAGGTGGCCTTACCAGGCACATTGTCAGTGAGCAAGTCCCTTGTTGAAACCTACACATGCCAGATGGAGAAAATCAAAGTGGGGGCTTTGCATCATTTTTCTAATTGCAACAGGCAATGATGGGGGAGATGCAAAAATGTGTCCTTTTTAAAATCTAAGGGGCAAGCAATAAGAATTCATAATTATATGACTCTTGGAATTCTGGGATAAAATGTGCTATCCTAACTTTGGCAATATTATTAAAAATACAGAAAATAGTGCAATTTGAAGACAGTAAAATGTAACACAAAGTAAGCCTGGCAATAATAATGTAATTGAATTTTCTTCATAGACACCAACAATTAGCATATTGAGAGAACAGCTGACTCCAAATAGTTTATCTGCTTTCAAACACATTTTGTTTCCACCAAAAAAAAAAAAAAACCTTCTTTAATATTCTTGAATTTTTTTTTAAGTTCTTTCTCAATTTTCAAACATTACAGAACAGTGCCTTCCAATGATATAGGAAGGCCTTCCTCTGAAACTTTTTTTTTGACTAGTACTTTTCCCAAAACAGTGAGAATCAGGTAACTCCCAACTCTTGCTTCTCAGAACCAGAACAAAAATTCCATCACAGTGGAATATGATTTCTCCTCTGTCCCAGCTCCATACCGGTCCCTCAGGTCCAGTTACCGTCCCCAAAGAGCAGAGCTCAGCGCCTGCACCTCCACTCTCCTCATGAAGAAGCTGCAGGCCGCCATGAGGCCTCCCCTCAGCCTCCTCTGCTCTGGGCTGAACAAACCAAAGAACTTCAGCCTCTCCTCATGTGTCTTCCCCTCTATACCCATCACCATTTTCTTAGTCCTTCTTTGGACACACTTTAATTGTTTTATGTCCTTCTTATACAGTGGCAACCCTCTAATTTGTCAAGCTGTCTCTGCATGGCATCTCTGCCCTGGCTGGAGTTAACAGCTCTTCCTAATTTAGTGTTGTCCACAAACTTACTTAGTATATGTTTGAGTCCTGCATCCAAGTAATTTATGAAAGCATTAGAGAAACAGCCCTAAAATGGAGCCCTGCAGAACCCCATTAGTGACTGAACTGAAAGTATTAAAAAAAAAAAAAAAAAGACAAATTTACCTGGAGTATTTTTTTTTTTATATATGTATCATATCCAGAGCAGGTTTTAAGGCTGCAAAGCCTAATTATAATGTCACAATGTAAGTCATATTCTACCAGCTGTGGCCGCAATTGAGGACTAAATCTTTCTTTGTAAAAACACAGTAGTATGAAGAAGTCCATAATTTCTCATCAACTGCCAGTATTTAGACTTCCATTTCATTTCTCTCTGGACATTTTTTTCCCCTCTTTCTTTCAGAATGTATTCAGGTTTCACATTTCTTAACACGCTTAACCCTTTCCAATAAACCTTTAAAATTTACTTCTCTGTTGCTTGCATGACCACATCTCTAGGCCTTTCAAATTACCAGTCCTCATGAACTTACTGAAGTACATCAGCCTGCTTATTTGAGTTCATATTAATGACTATTAATTGGTTTTGTAACTTCAAACCTTTCTTTTCTCTTTTTTTTTTGTTGTTTTGTTTTGTTGTTAGTTTGGTTTTAATTCATAAGCTTAAACCTTTTCACATAGAAGAATTTCAGTTTCCTTGCAGAAGATGTATCTAATAACTACTAAAATTAGGTGAAAGATAGTTCTGTGGAATTGGAGTATTTTAAGCAAACTTTAATGCAAGCAATGTGTTAAAGTTATGACTACAGGAAAAAAAAATTACTTTGCTTTGGATCTCACATCTCCGGGCCATACACCATAAATCATAATTTATTTTTTTTTCCCCACAGCATTTAGTTTTCACTGCAGCACCCTCTTGGTCCAGAAAGAATAACATGATCTGATCATTTAAGCATTCTGTGATAGAGAAGGCTAACTAAATCCTCTGGATACCGCTTAAGTCTCTACTTCAGGAGATAGTCTCTCCTGTCAAGGAAGATAGTCTAGAGACTATCCAAAAGAGTTTGGCCAAACTCTTTTGAATTTCTCTCATTAATAATGATGTTTAGAACTGAACCAGAATTCTCTTTGCTTCTCCTTGGCTATTTTTTCTCTACAGATTTTGTGTAACATTGCCCCCATCAAAACAGAGGTTCACTTTTTTGTTTTTGTGCTGAAAGAATGAAATTATATGTTGGAAACCCTGCCGTCAGATGTTGCAATTAAAAAAAAAAAAAGTTTCCTTTTCATCTCAAAGATGTTTATCTCCATTGGTACAGTATTTTCACTTATTCTTCCAGTCCATCCTTAGCTTGTCCACAGCTTCCCCTTTCTTCCAAACCATTCTAGGCTTCGTGCCTGGCTCTCTGTAAATCACTCTGTGCTGGATTAGTCTGTATCCTGGCTAATTCTCCTAAAATCTTTATCCAAACGCATTAATCATAAGTAGCTATCAGCTAGCCTTCCTTCTTTCCATTTCTGTCTGAGAACGCGAAGTTGTGTTATCTTTCCTAAGAAAGCCTTTTTACATTTTCCCCTCTGTAAACATAGGCTTTCTACAGTATCTCTTGTTAAAGAGGAAGTAGAATAGAACAGTTCAGTTGGAAGGGACCTACAAAGATCGTATAGTGCAACTACCTTACCACTTTAAGGCTAACCAAAAATTAAAGCATGTTATATTGAAGGCATTATCCAAATGCCTCTTGAACGCAAAAACAGGCATGGGGCATCAACCACCTCTCTAGGAAGCCGTTTGCAGTGTTTGAACACCCTCACGGTGAGGAATGTTTCCTGGTGTCCAGTCTGACTCTACCACGGAGCACTTTCATGCTGTTCCCATCCTTCGTGTCATTGGGTACCAGGGAGAGGAGACTAGCACCTCTCTCTACACTTTCCCTCCACAGGAAGTTGCAGAAAGCAGCGAAGTCATCTCTTGGCCTCCTTTTCTCCAAACTAGACAATCCAAGTGTCCTTAACCTCTCCTTATAGGAAATGCCTTCCATCCCTTTTACCAGCTAGGCTGTCTTCCCTTCCTTGACTTTACATGTCTAAATTACATTCCAGTGAGCTTCAGCTCAGGAATGGCAAGATCTAGGACTATATTTGGAAAAACAACCCCCTTAATAGCTGACAGAAACATAGAGAATAGAAAACAAAATGAAACATGATGCCCCAGTACTCCTTTCAAAATATTATTGTAATTAATTACTCAGAAATAGTCATCTCTTTATAATCCATCCACAGTCTAAACAAAGGATATATATTAAATAATATGCTTAGCTACTGTTAAATAGTTATTATGCAAACATTTAGAAAAACCCATTCCTGAAATATACTACATATGTGCCATGTATTGTAATGCAGATTTGTTACTTGGCAGCACGGCAGAATCGTCTAATAGACCTAGACATATATAACAGATGTTGCTATGCAGTGTCCTTGAGTTGTAAGATAGTTGATCTCCCTAAGCAAGGCTCATCTGTGTCATATCAGGTAAAACAGAATATTCCCCTGCAGCTTACTCTAGAGATAAGGGGAAAAAACATAAAAAATAATAATAAAAAAAAAGATTCAGAATGAAATTTGCATTTTTGTTTCTTCATTTTAGGTTTTTAATGTTATGTACTTTCTAGAAGCATTGACTGTATATGTCTTGATATTCATTTCAGAAGTGTACCTAAATATATATATATATTTATTATACTGTTCTAGTGTATTTTTGATGATATTAAGTGCACTAACCTTCACAAAAATTTTTTTTTCACATATACTTGTTTTAGAAATAGACTTTTAGGTTTCCTCTTTCTTTCATTACCTAAAATATTGTTTATTGGCAAGTGAAATCGATAATGGCAATCACAGTTTTAATCCTTCTAGTAATTTCATGGATATAAAATTATGGCAAAGAAAATAAATAATGGATAATTATTAAAAATATATTGTTTTTATTACTTTTGGGTGTTTGTTGTCATGGTTATTAGCTTTGGAGTTCATGTTTTCAGATTGTTGCTCTTTCGCTCATTACGACTTCATGGGAGAAACAGAAATGAGGTATTTTGTGTAATTTTGTGAGTTTATATAACCTTCGGTTAGCAATAAAAACATTATATCTTGTAATGATCAACATAAATTCAGTACACTAGGTCATATTTAGTAGTAGCTTATGGAAGAAACAGCAGGTGCATTATACATAAAAAGTAAGCAGTTATTCTGCATCAGATTCCCCTTCTTGCTTTGATTAACCATCAAGCACAATAGAAAAGCGGTATACAACACACACTCAATTCCAATACACAGATACAACATTCAATACAGTAATAAATTAGCATAGGACTTTGTGTACTTTTTTACATTACTTATCTGATTTTCTAGTATAGCTGTAGAGGACATGCCTGAATATTTCAAAAGCAATCCTTCCTCAAAATCTCTACACTTGTTTTCAGTTATAACTTAAAATACATTTTATTTTACTCTTATATCATAGAGATGTTGTGGAGATAGCCTGCTTTTAAAGGAGATTTACTCTTAGTTTGCTTTATCTGGATAAGCTGAAGTACATCTTAATAGATTGTTTTACTGAATCACAAAGTTTATGGCACATACATTCTGTCTAACTTCTAGATCTCTAACAGATACCTAGATATCTACCATATATCAATAATGGACCTCTGGAGATTGAGATTTTAGAGGAGAAAAGCCTTCAAATCAAACTGCAAGAGGTATTAAAACAACAGCATTGAAATGAACACAGGAATACCCTGGAAAAAGTCATTCCTCAACTTTATTTACTTACAGGGGCATCACACAACTTAAATGATGTGCTGAAAACAACTTATAAAAGAAAGAAAGGGAACAAACCTAAAAACAACATCAAAAAACAGACTACATTGAGCAGTATTTTCAGTCTGTAAGTTCTTTTTGTTGACAATTATTATTCTTTTTTTTTTTTTTTTATTTTTTTAATTTAAATGGAAATTACTTATGCTTAATTAGGCCATCATTTGGAGGAATGTCATATGGTATGAATAACTAACTTTTCAGTAAGCTAAAAACGCATAAATGTATGTCAGGTACTGATACTTAAATTCATATTGTTCCATGGAAGTATATCCATAACACTTAACCACTTAGAGCTGACTGACAATGGCTTCATCATATGACTGATTATAGACATCCCAAGGATATGCATGCCATGAGAAGCATATAAAAAAAGTTGCTTAACATACTTGTAAAAATTCTCCCACGTGCATCGTGTAATCCGTCTTGTGAGGTTGCAAGAATATAACCTTACCCATTTCACTGAAGGTTTCTTTGGTCACAGCAGGTGTCCACTGCATTGTCAATCCTCCTGAGTGAAATAGCTGTTAAAAATAACTAAAAAAAATAAATAAAATATCAGACATTGCTGCTGTCTCTATATAAATCTGGAACACAGAAAGAATTTCAGTATGCCATAGCCTAAACAGGATAAATAAAAAGATAGGGAAAAAATATTCCTTAAAATAGTCTTTTATTTCCTCAAAACTGTTAAAATCTAGGGAAGGTGAGTGGTTTTTTATTTTTTTATTTTTTTTCCTGGAAATGAAAACAGAAAATTTTTGACAGGGTATGTTTTCACTTAGATTTCTAATCTGTCCAGAGAAGATATTATACAGCTTGAAGATAGTTCATTTTATGAAATTTTCTGATAGTTCATTTCTGAACCCTTGTAAATCATTTTTATAACTGTGCCTTCACTTCTTTTTTCATGTGTACAGTGACAGTGCATAGTGAGACTTTACATATAAAATCCTATAAATTCAGTAAACCTAAATTTTTAAACACACTGTTTATATTCAATATTTACTTTAAGTTTCATAACTAACATTATTACTGATTTCTAGGACTGGAAAACTATTACTTATTTTATCTTTCCTCACAGGGCCACTAAGAACACTTTATTTACATTCTGCTTCATGTCCTAGTATTGTTGGTGGCTTTCTACAGAGGTTTACTTTCTACACTTAAAGGAAGAGATAGGTCAGATGTATTTCAGTAAAACAAGAGCTTAGAAAAAGAGATAGCATAGAGTTAGAAATGAAACACTGAAATCACCAGATTGTTGCTGCTATACCTCTGACCTATGCCAAACTTCTTGCCAAACTGAAACATCTGTATCTTAAAATATTTGTTCTGAGCAGAACTTTTATTATCAGCTTAAAAACTGTGATTTATTTTATTTTACTGAAAGCATGAGAAAAGTTATGTTTAACACTTTATTTTCTATGTAGAACTTTGTAAAAGTAAAACTGGCTTCACCTGATGCTTATATCAGCAATCTTGTTTCAGAGCTGTTGGAAACATTATCACTAAAAAGCCAGCAACAAAGGCAAGGAGGCAACCAGGCATACACATGTACAATTCTGGTTAAACTTATTACAATGATCACAAATACAAGAGTTACTTTCAAATATACTGAAAATCCAGGATTCTCATGTTTTAGTCTACATGCAGAAATGTTCTGCTGACTACTGGCTGATTTACTAGCAGTAGCTCTGCTACTGTAGAAGGCAATGTTGATTAAGATACAGCTGTATCCTTCACTATGAGTAGGATGCTTTTAAGACTCAAGTGTGTCCATTCAACTGCTGTAATAAATCATCTATTCAAATGAATGGACTACCAGAACACATCAGCTGTATTTGCATTTATCAGCATTAAAAAACTTTTAATTAATTTGTGTTCACCGTACCCATGCTAAAATATATTTTAATTTGTTATTATGCAGATTAAGCTTTGCATCAATATTTAAAAGTGTACTTCAACTGTCACCACTATAAATAAATCCAAGACACAGCAGAAACAGTACAGTAAGGGTGAAAAAAGACATAATTCTTTCAAGACAACTCTTCAAAATACCAAAAATAAGCACATTCTTTATCTGAAGGCTAAAATTCCAGTCTTGGATAAAAGCCTATGACCTTGGATTAAACTTTCACCTTGATCTTCCAGGCAACAAAAGCCTTAAACCAAGTTCATTCAAAACCTACTCTATAATACAAAAGCTTTCATAAAGTTGTCAAAATTTGTAGAACTCAGAAATAACATATATCAGGACTCCCATTAACATATGCAGGAGAGAGAAAATCAAGTCACCCAAATACCATCACATGGACAAAGACTGACGAACATATTCTGCTTCTCTGTATTTTGATAGAGGACAGATAACAAAACATTTCATAACTCTCTTGTCCATTTTCATGCTTTTTCAGGAAAAAAATACCTACCTGTGCAACTGAAGGCATTTATACTCCATTGAGGGGAATAGAAAAAAAAAAGTTATGCTATGCCATTCCATCCTAATCTCCAGATTTATATTAATTGACCTCGGCTGTGGTGGTGGTGCAGTGGTTTCTGTGGTGAAACTCTTATCTGAATCCCTGATGTTACCCCCTTCCCTACAAAAAGATTCAAAGAGATTCATTTTGTTTAACTTTGAAAAAACAAACAAACAACAATGGAAAAGTTCCCAGTTGTGTTCTAAATATGGTGCAAGTTGTCACATGCCACATAGTATGTGCTCTTGCTTCTGGAGCTAATTGTCTGTTTGTGAAAGACAGAATAAAATATCACCCATCACATATGCTGCTACTTACAATTTTGTTCGTTTGTTTGTTTTGGTAAGTTTATCTGCTTTCCACAAATAAGTGAAAACTTCCTTGGTGACATTAAAACTGTCACACTGAATACCTGGCAAAGAGTCTTAAATGCAGAAGGCAGAATTTAACAGTAGTAGTCAATAGTCAGACTGGTAACAAAAGAATCAATTTTATTTATTTCATTTAATCTGCTTCTGACTAGAACAGTGACCTGAGGTGCTTTAGATAACTTGTCTCTTGCATAAACCATTCTCATTTGGCCTCCCAAACTGTAAATTACTACTTTTTTTGAGTCTTATTTCAAGTGATAGCCATGTTTAAATTATTTAGAATGAAATCAACACAATAAATAGGCAAAACATTTGAAATATATTCTCTCCTTTCTAGAATATTCCTTCTTTGACCAGTCTAGTCCACTAAAGTGGACAGGAAAGTTAACGGTCTTTACATGGTGCTTGACTGTAATCACATCTGCAGGCTCATGGCCATAGATATGATTAATTTATCATCATTCAGAATGTCACAACTGACTTATCTACTTATTTCCATGTGCCTGAAAAAGCCTTAAATAATCATGAAATCTACCTTTAAAACTCACAGACATCTGAAAATATATGAACTGTTATATTGAGTCCTTCTGACCTGAACAATACACAATATGAATATAGCAGGATTTCTGAGCTGAGTTTCGAACATCACACACACATCGTAAGAATGACATTATTTTCTTCAAAACATCACTATTTTTAGGGACATTGTCATTTTTAATGACCTATTACCATAACTGTAACACCTCTCTATCACTGTAAATAAATTGGGCATGTAAATCCAAAAAGAAATTATAGAGACACAAAATAAAATTGAGTTTGACAACTAAATTTTACTGGACATTTTGAGGAAGGACTTAAATGTTTGAGAAATACATAATATAGAAATACGGTTACTTTTTGTAAGAAAGACTCATGTGAAATTAGATTGAGTATGGGCTGAGAAAAAGTAGTTTATAGACTGCTGCAGATAATGATATAAATAGAAATATTAATTTATGCTCTGCCTAGGAATTTCTACCTCAAATGTTACCATGCTTTGTAGCAGGTGACCAAATTTAATGAGACAGATGGTAAAAACAGCTGTGACATTTTAAGAGATTGTCTTTCACCATCCTATTACATTGGACATATTTGGGCATATTGTCCAAAGGTGCAGAAATGCCCTGTTAATACCTAAGTTAAAGATGAATGGAATTAGTCTGAACAGACACTAAAAATGTTTTGAATCAATTCAGCCAACTTTGCATGAAAGCAGATAATGAATGTTCATAAACTTTGTTCTTCCAACCAAGTGGTGGTGTCAATAACCTCCAAATGGAGGAGTAAAAACAGACTAACTAATTAACAGGTTTCACTGACATGGGATCTTCTGTGGTGCATGAATACTGTCTGAGATTAAAAGAAATTTCCCAGTTAAATAAATCAAGATGAAAAGGTAATGGTTTACAGTTTTGATTGAATAACTTTGAAAAGAGTTTATCAAGTGTCTTTTTCCCCCCTCTGATCATTTAAATGAGCAAGTTGCTTTTAAAGCAACTAACTGTACCCTTACTTCATTCACAGAACTCCCTTTGAAATAGCAATGTGAAGAAAAGAACAACGTAAAATAGGTTTAATGTACAAATAAATATTGAATATTTTTCAATTTTTTTTTAATTTTAATTATACACTTATTAAAAGTTAAGTGTTCTGTCATATGGTGAAAAAGAAATTATAACCATCAATCATCTTATTTCAACAGCATGTGTTTTATATTTTTACATTTGTCTAAGCAGAATGCTTGAGAAAACATTACCTGTTCCCAGTTCAGTCATTTTTCATTTTATTTTTTGTTTAGCTGTATCCTTTGTAAATCTTTAGCATCTCCCCTATTCTGTTTGCATTCTACTTTAAACTCATTTTTCTTCTAGTTTTATTTTCCCCTTGGCTTCGTCATGAAAGTTTGACACTGAAAATTCATTTCAATCATTTAAAATGTATGCTATTCCATGTACTGTAGCAGCATGGAGAGAAATATAACATTTGAATTAGCATAGGGAGAAACTATTAAATTCAGCAAACTACTTATAATAATACAATAAAAAAATTTCCAAGCAGCAGTCTGAAGGAAAATGTTGTTTCATACCTTAATTTATCATTTCAACCAGAAAACTTTAATCATTAACAGAAGGCTTTAATGCTATGATGTGAGTGGTAAAGGTAGCATGTAGGTGCAATTATTTTACAGCTAAGAGAGATTATTTTTAAATATTATACGTTAATTTTTCTTTTATCTAATTTTCTCTTTCTCCTATGGTATGTTTTCCAATACATCCCTTCATTCCAATCTGCATGGAAAGCAGAGAATTCCTCTTAATAATAGGTAACGTAGACTGGAAAAACAAGTAGGTTGAGTTGTAACATAAGACATTTAAATAAAAAAATAAGCACTCCAATTCACTGATGCTTATTCTCACCTTAACTGATTCTTTTTACTTCTGCAAAAGAGGACTAAACCTTTAGAAAAAGGACTTGTTCACTATGTTTCTTCTAGTCATGTTGAAAGTATCCCAATCTCAAGTCTACACAAGAAATTAGGTGTGTACAATCAAAGAGAAATATTAAGTAAGTTGAACATTTTTGGAAAGATTCATATAATTATATATAAATAAACACATAAGAAGTTTGGTTTCAATAGAAACAGTAATATATTGATAAATTAACAGTATTAGAAAATAAGCATCAATTTTTTTTTATTATTTTTTTTTAATTTCCCCAGAGGCAGTACCTGTTAAAAAGATGTCTAAAAACATTTACAAGATGCTAAAAAAATTGTCGTTATAATAAAAATATTCATTTTCAGTCTTCATTGATGAGTATCCTTAGGTTTAAATCTTCCCCAATTATTAAAGGTATATATAACAATGTTTTATTAACAACAGCTCCTGTGCTGTGTATTTTATATGGTTTTGGGCTGATACATAATTAAAAATAATTAAAATAAATAAATAATCATTCTTCTGGGCTTTCTATATATTTCTGTGTGTTTAACAAACTGAAGGATTATATAAGCATTCATTTTAAATGTGTGAATGTGTGAGATGTTTTTTGTGTGTGTATGGATGCATGAGTGTGTTTGTTGACACACATGTCTAGCAATTTCTGTGTAAAACAGTGGACGCCTTTGTATGTAGTATTATAATGCATTCATAAGTTTTGAAGTAGTCACAGAAGATTTAATAACAGGAGACAGAAATATTTTGTCCTAAGGCAGTTCACCACCACAAATATTATTTTATCATCCTTGTTGAAATATTCTTTTGTTCCTGGAGTATAGTGTATATTTGTAGTTGAAACACAACGTTTCCTTAAAAGGAAAATATCTTCACATTAGGAAAGGAATTAAACAGTCTTAATGCAGGTAAGAATATCATCCTTCTCCCTTTCCTCTAAAACCAAAACAAAACACAACCAACCAAATCAAACCAAACCAATCCACAAAATATAAATGCCTACCATAAAGTAAGCGTTCAGTAAAACAAAATAAAATTGAAGTGAAATGTCTGGCATAGGATGAAAGAGCCTGTGTAATGGTAGTTAAAGCATAATATCTTTAAGCCTGAGGATAAAATGAAGTGCAGATGTGTCACTCTTTGAATAAAAACAAACTAATGGTTTTGCTATAGAATCATAACTACAAGGTTTGTAGGAGCAGATAAGATTATATCAGTTTTTATGTGCTGTTTAAGGTGTATCATGGTTTCTTGCTGAACTTGTCTTTGGATTAAGAAGCTCTCAATTTCAAAAGTGCTGTCAAATATTCCAAATGCTGACTTTACTTTTCTAATTAAGAATCATAATACATGGCTTCTACGTACTTTTTTGTTTGTTTGTTTGTTTGTTTTTTATGGGAGGCTTTTTTTTTTTCTTTAATTTACACAGGATCTGAAACCACATACAGTGGTACATCTTATATTCCATAATTTCTCATTCTTCTTGAAAGCATTCATCTTACTTTTGTATAACTGCCCAATAACCAATATTTTGCACTATATCTAACCGTATCATCACCTTTTCAGAAATAAGTGAGGATAAGGGAAATGGTCTTGCTGTAAAGGAAGCTACTCTTTTTTAAAGGTCCTGTACATGAAGAATTGGATATGGCTGTTCCACAGACTTCCTGAGCTACCTGGGACAATTAGGGGAGGCCACTGCATTTACAAATTGCCACTGAGTAACAGCTAACAACCTCAGAATTACAGCATCAAACCATATTACATTTTACACACAGTTACAATCTTCACCTTTTTCCTCTGTGTCCCTGATCCAAGGTGTGCTAGAGGAGAGAAAAAAAACATATTAACATATAAGCGTACAGAATCAGAAGATTCATTCGTAGAAAATTACCCTCCTATGTACAGCAGCTTGAACACACTTACTTAAATGTCCTCCTGGGAGAGTTCAGGCATGTAAAGAGGCAACTGTCCTTTTACTCCCCCCAGACATCCACATCCATTTATCTACTTTCATATTTTCTACACGTAGAGATGTTTTTCATTTATATTAAGTCTGCATTAATAATTCTTCACTTTGTCATAGTTTTCAAGTTAAGAGCAGGTAAAACAGGCAAGAGGACTGCATGTTTGTACCATTTACACTACCTGATGCTGCTATAATATGCTGTCTCAAATGCATGACTGAATAAAGGGAGAAAGTCTGGGAATACAAAAGATAATGTTCTAGTTGTGAAGAATGGTTTCCATTTTCTGTACATTTAATTTTTATGTTACAGAAAATAATATTGCAGTAAAGAATTCTTAGACATATAAATTTACATAGAGAGAAAGAAAAATGTTCCATGCAGAATGTGACAAGCAAAATTTTCAGTAGGAAAAGAATGCGCAAAAGTTAAATAATTTTTCTTTTCAAAATGATGCTTATTTTCATTAATTTTCTTTTTGTAGTCACATTAGCTGTAGAAAGAAAAAAGGCTACACTCTGTTAATCAGCATAAGCTGGAAACACAATATTAATGCTTGTTACAAACAGAAAACTGAAAATCTCTGTGTTCCCGCAATAGCAATATTCAACATTCAAATGTCATAAATGTATCTTAAAGAGGCAGAAAAGCATAATTTCTCAACATACTTTCACTATTAAAATCAGAATTATGCATTGGCAACATATTTAACAGTTCTTATTGCTTCTGCTTAGAAGAAAACTGATTATGCTGATAGAGTAGGGGGAGAGTTTTCCAAATCACTGTCTGATTTTTCTTAAGAATTGAACTAAGCATAGTAGCAGCATTTTATAAAATCTCATGATAAAATTGCATTATAATTTGCAAAACAAGTTTGACCTTCTTTTTTTTTTCCATTTTATTTCAAAACCTACTCAGTCGTATCATTACTGTTATAATAAAAATCTACTTTCTAAATATCATAAAATAGCCTAATATTGTGCAGCAGTGTAAGTTTTAGTCCTGCTTATGTAGTAAATTTTTTATTGTTCCCTGGAATTTTAGTTTTTGTCTAATAGCAGGGAACAAAACCACAAGCAGGGTTAAAAAAAAAAAAAAAAAAAAAGTACAATGTTAAATCAGTTAGAGAAGTGAAAATATATTTCCTGCAACTCATTGTCTGAATCCAATTCACAGAAAGCACACAACATTCTTTTCTTGCTGAATCTATTCAAATTCAAACTCAAATTTGAATATCATTAACTTCTCCAAGCATCCAGGAAGAGCTGTTTCAGAAAGAAGGGGAAAATGGGAAAGAGAAAGTGAACTAGTCCAAATTATTTCCACTTCATTCACTTGATTCTCTCCAAATAAACAGTCCAACTCTTTACACACTATTAATTAGCATTGGGATGTGATCTGTGTTTCATATGAGAATTTGGAAACAACACTAGATTTTTCTATGTGTACAAACTTCTGCAGAAAGTCTGCAGTACTGTAGGCTAGACTGGAGCCTTTGGCTGTTTATCGATGAAGGTGGGTAAGAGGAATAAACTGTATGACATTGAAATTTCTCCATCACTGTTAAGAATAAGAGCAGAGAACAACCATACTCTAAAAATCACTCCCTAGAGAAAGAAAACAACACCAACATAGAAAAGAAGAAAAAACAAACAAACAAACAAAAAAATCATAAGACATTCTTTATAAAGTTGAGTCTTCTCAGAATGAAATGAAAACAAAGAAACAAAAGCCTGAGTATAGAATATCATGAATGAATATGTTAAATGAAAGCGATACAGTCACACAGAGAAGATGCAAAAGGCAAGAGTTGTTCCTTGCCTGCTCTATTCCAAACCTGTTTGATGGTTTGGATAACAGTCACAAGGGATGCTACTGTTCCCTCACTTCTGATAGAAAAGCACTCACATTGTTTACTATTGTCAATTTCCTCTCTTGCTCCAAGAGAACTAGAGCAGCATGACTCCTAGAGAGACACTAAACCTAACTCAGGATTAGAAGGGAAAATGATGAGTATCCCCTATCTATTATTTTCTTTTCCTCCTTCATTGCTTTTCTTTTACCTTATTGTTTATAGCTTAGTTAGTGCTGAAGTCATCCAGCCAAATAGCATTTTCTGATCTACAAAATACAAAATGTATTTATAATTTCTCTTAGATTTGGAGAATGAATCATTCCACACAAAAAAATGGATTTGTTAAAGCATACTCCTGAGACCCTTTGGTAGTTATCATTGAACTGTATTTTAACATACAATAGAATACTTTGAAAAGTTTTTATTTTTCTAGTAAGTGTTCTCTGCAACAGTTTTAACAGCAGTAGTAATTCAGGTCAGTTTTTTCTTCCTTTTTTACTTGTCTTCTACAAATATGCTCTTTCAGTCATTTTACATGGAAATTGTTCCATGCAGCAACTGAAGTTTTCTTTCAATATTCAACTAAACCTTTGTGAAGAAGTATGAGGTGGGGCAACTTGAGCCAGATATTTACAGTTCCATGAATTTCTGTAGAGAATAATTTCTAGGGATAGATTAAAAAAATGCAAAAAGGAAAACTATTAAAAATGTAGTTTATGAATTTATATCAAAATTACTGTTCTCAATTCATTAGTAATGTATCTGTCTAGAGGAGTGTTGGTTTGTGGAGATGATTGTTGATTCTTTAGTCTGTTTTGCTTTGTCTTGTTTCCAACAAAAAAATTAGATTCTCAACTGAGCTTTTGAGCTTTATAAAATGTCCTTTTTTTTTTTTTTTTTTTTTTTTTTTTTGAGTGCTCCCACCATCAATAGGTATTGCTATTGACAGCTTTTATGTAGCTGGTTTAAATTGTAAGAACAGAAACTGCAAGAGTACAAAATAAACACTCAAAACTATGAAAGACATTTTCAAAAGGGTTTTACCACTGTTGCATTTGATAAAAACACGCCAAATAGCATGAGAAAAGGATACAAATGTAAGAGCAAGACAAAAAAGTAAAAGTGTACCGAGTTAATGAATCATTAGAAAAATAGCCTGGTCTCAATTGTCTGATATATCTCATGGAAATTATTTCCAGTAAGGTGTAGAATTTTAATTCTAGTGTATGCAGAAATAGCACCACCAGAAAATGAGGCTCACTTTAGCCAGAAGTTAAAATGGATTTGTGTCATTTAATTACCTACAATTTACTAATAGCACATGGCCTCCCAACGCTTCAAATCAGGCCTTGTCCATGATTTGCTAGAAAAGCTAATATGGTTTTAAAGCAATAAAAAAATAAGAATAAATATCCAACAGGAATATCCAACAGCATGCAGTAGATAGCTGTACTTACTGTGACTAGTTTCATTCTGTAACCTTTTCTTCATAACTTCTACACTCCAAATTATATGTTTAGTGTTTATATGTATCTGAACTTGCCCAAAGAGAGGTTGGCTCCAGCAGAGAAAGCTGGATAGGGAGAAGACCACTTATGTCTCCAAGGAAGTGCTGAGTATCATCAAGGGAGTATCAGTGGGATTGGCTGGAGAACTGACAAGAGAAACCCAGTGCTGAAGCTGGAGCTCCTGCACCAGTCTATGCAGACACAATGGGTGGCAGGAGGAATTATTATTATTTTTTTTTTACAATTTTAAAAATACAATTTACAAATACAATTTAGGTTAACTTGAACCTTATGCCTTTTGGTCTTTTGGGGGAGTTTCTCCAAGTGGAATCTTAAACATGTATTCTGCAGCAGTAGCTAAATCAATATCACATTTTTATGTATGCACAGATGCAGAGAAAGACTACTGTTAAGACAGTGTGCTCACAAAGGATTAAAAATGGGGGGGGACCGTGCACCTTTATGAAATGATGATGACAAAGATGGCTATTAACAGAATATTTCTGTAAGTGATAAGTTCAGGCAAAATGGCAATTTCCTTCACATGTCCTAAAAGGAGGGGGCAGAGTAAAAATCAGCTAACTCTTCTCTTCATTTGTTTCTGTCTCAATCATATTAGTTTGAGTTCCGCTAACATACCACTTGAAATGCTTTCCTACTCTTTATAATGGAAGTAGCACTGTTACCAATTTCACTGGCTTGCAAGTATTTTTTGCAAGTATTACTGAATTAGTTCCTGTAATACTGGTCCCTTTAACTTACTGATGCATTTCGGGTTTTTGAACAGGTATTTTCTTATATTTTTTATGCCTTTGATGTTATTTTTCTGGCTTGCTAACATCACTTTCTTTATTGTTAACTGATTTCCATTATTTTCCCTTCCATCCTCTATAACTTCATGCCATTTGCAATGAAGTTGCTGAACACTGATCATACCTCTTTTACATCTGTTGCTTTTCCCTACAGTAAGAATCATTTTTATCCATCCATTTTCTGCTGTATTTCTTCATCCCCTTGCCTTCGACAACAAACACAGTACCATTTTTTCCTGTCTCCTTTCTCTTTATCAACAGAAGTAATCTAGATTTTGGTTTAGCATCAAAGACCTAAATAAAACACATCATCAGGAAGTAACTTGCTACAGTGGTACATAATTGTTCTTTATTTCAGTCTGCTTTAATATCATATCACTCCAAATTACTTATCCTTCTTCTCTCAAATAAATAAATAAATAAATAAATCTGTGTATGTCAACTTAGATTCATGCCACTTGTGAGAGTATTCTGGAAAATACTTTACTTTTTCTTTCTGAAGAAGTAACTTCTTTTATAAAAGTATAAAATTTTTGATTTGTGCAGAAAAATATCTCCCTGTTTGCTTTATTATTTCTTTTCAATTTTTCAGGAAAAGTCTATTCTAAATTCAAAATCAAGTTTTCTCTGATTAGCTGTTATAACTGAGTAGTCTTTTGGAATTCTACACTGCACCTTTTC